ATGACGAGGAACTTGATTTAAATCATATCAAAGACGGAGTACATCGAGATGAAATACTACGTTTAGTAAGGAATTATAAGCCAAATAAAATAAAAACATCTGCCCTGTGAAGATAAGGATAGTGCTGACAGATCAACTTCCAATTCATTGCGAATTTTATGTAATTTAGTTTTGTGAATACAATATACATCGTCTAAAAAAATGTGTGAACAGCCTCTGTAATAACAATAAATAATTAATTCTTGCTTTAATTAGCATGTAATTGTAATAATAAAAAGAAACAGTAAGTATAGTGAATTTTCTGCACTCAAATCACTAAATGTTTTACAAAAGTATATGCATAAAATGAATGAATTTTCAATGATAAAAAATCGAAAGCATATCTTCTTTGAGGTAGATAGCACTTTCGTGCTTTGTAACTAAACAAAAATAAATACGAGACAAGTAGATTTACAAAAATTAAAAATTAATTATTCCTATCCATTATCTTCCAAGTGCATCAATGAGAAATTGAGTTCTTGAAGCCGATTAAATGCAGCAATCGCAGTTACGTTGGTTAATGTTAAAAGGTACGTTGTTTAATGTTAAAAGAAAATCCCCCTAGTTAAAGGACAGTTGCAAAACTGTGTCCACTGTAAACAAAATGATAAACGTTGATTTAAATCTTAAGAAAGCGAAAAAACGCAATGTGCATCGTCTTCTTCCAAAGCATATCGCTCAACGCAGGACACGCTGCAGAATTCTATATGAGAAACACTTATCCAAAGAAAAATGGAAAACAATTGTCACAATAGATGAAGCATGGGTGTATTTAAATGATAGTAACAAAAAAAAAGAGCCATTTATTATTATAAAAGGGGAGAAAAAAATTTAAGTACATGGTTCAAAGAATCGAAAGAAAGTTTTTCTAAGGGATTCATGATTGTTGCTGGTTTTTCTTATAATGGCAAGTTAAAAATAAAGAGAGTGCTAAAGAATGTCAAGATTAACTCCAAATACTACCAGGAACATATTTTATCGGCAATTTTTCTGAATGAAATATCGCTATACCCATAGTGCCATCAATCTGTGAGACTCTATCAGGACAAAGCTAGCAGTCACACATCAAAATCCACTGTAAATTTCCTAAAAGAAATGGAACAAAAAACTGGTATCAAGGCCATACCCTTCACTAATATCCCTACTAAATCTCCCGATCTGTAACCTATGGATTTTTGTGCTTTTGGACTTTTAAAAACTGCATTATCCAAACGTTGTCCCCAAACCCTATAACAGGACTCTGGAAAGCTGTTCGGGAGGAATGGGATAGAATACCTCTTCTGCCACTTCAAAAGGCATTATTATCTTGGAAATTGTGGTGTCGAAAGATAGTTCAGAATAAGGGATGTCAAATACAACATTTAAAACACAAGAATTTTATGTAATTTAGTTTTGTGAATACAATATACATCGTCTAAAAAAATGTGTGAACAGCCTCTGTAATAACAATAAATAATTAATTCTTGCTTTAATTAGCATGTAATTGTAATAATAAAAAGAAACAGTAAGTATAGTGAATTTTCTGCACTCAAATCACTAAATGTTTTACAAAAGTATATGCATAAAATGAATGAATTTTCAATGATAAAAAATCGAAAGCATATCTCTTTGAGGTAGATAGCACTTTCGTGCTTTGTAACTAAACAAAAATAAATACGAGACAAGTAGATTTACAAAAATTAAAAATTAATTATTCCTATCCATTATCTTCCAAGTGCATCAATGAGAAATTGAGTTCTTGAAGCCGATTAAATGCAGCAATCGCAGTTTGTCTTAGTGTTCAATGAGCAGTTTTGCCAAACTAGAAATCTGAATGCAGTTTATTATTGTTATTATGTCTACTTTTAGGGCTTTTGAGATGAAACTGACGGTTTTGTTTTCAGAAAGTAGTTGGTAAAAAGATAATAGTGGAATACGCTGGCTGCAAAAATGTGAGTGGTACCCTCTAGAACATGGGTGTCTAAACTATGACCGTTTGAGGGTCGCCTTGCAAAGGAAAAAAAATTGTGGGGCAGCATTGCAAAGAAAAAAAAAAAAAAAATTGCGCGGCCATACATACAATATTTTTTAATAGATTGAAATAAATTGAAATAAAAATTAGCTCTATGTTGTTTTATTAAAATAAATCAACTTACTTCTTTTATTATTAATTTTTTTTAATTTGAATTAGATATGTATAGGTACATATTTATTATTAATTTGTAAAAGTTTCGTTTCATTTACTTTGGATTTCACAAAGATGGAAAAAATTCAAATTAATGAGATGGATGAATTTGCTTTTATTGAACAAGCAAATCGATATCGGGTTCAATAGACGAGGTTGCAATTCTTAATGCATTTTTAAGATGTTTATCAGCGATGTTTGTCCTATTTTTGATTTTTGTATGCTTTATTCTTGAAAATAATTGTTCACAAATATGGATACTGCCAAAAGCTGAAGACATTAATAAAGCATGATTGTGAAAATTAGGATAATTATCGCGGGGTAGGTAATCTTTATAAAACTCCAGTAAAGAAACATTTTCAAACTTTTCTTTCAGTTGAATGTAACTTTGCAGTTAATACATCATGATGCACTAAGATGTTTTTATTAAAATTTTTATTTCAAAATAAATGCTGACGAATCAGTTATATATGAATCAAATTCAACATTTATTTTTTTAATAAAAATGTGTAAATTTAAATACTTTCATAATTTGCGTTTGGGCCGCACTTTAAACACCCCTGCTCTAGAATGAAGAAACCCAGAATAATAAAGTGAGATTACGAAATCAACAGTAAACATACGCAGAAGTAGGTTTAATTTCTGGCATGGAAATTGTGAAAGCACCTGATCATTTTCTTCAGTTTCCCGTTGCTGAGGAGCTAAAAGCGGGTGGAGAACACCTGCAGAAGATAGATTTTACCCTATCCGACTAGTATGAGAAAATTTGTCGTTAACATTCAAAGTACAAAGGAAGCTTTGATATGCCAATAGCAAAGTTCTTTTATAGTTCTAGTATTTCATTCTGTGGCAGTGCTTATCCATCTTTTACGATATGACCAAGTGCATATTCCTAAGTAGAAACAACTGACGGATATTGTATACACACCTCTATAAATACCGAATGGCTGATACTGTGTTGAATGATTAACGTATGCAATTTATGAATATTCTGTTTATTATCTTAATCTTTTACGAAATAAGTAGTATCTATTCAGAAATATTTCAAAATTCTTCACAGGCGGGATACTTATACTTGGCTTAAAAGAATTCACAGATATTGTGAAGCCACAAGTACCCACCCGGAAGTACGAGGTAGAAAAGCCTGATAGATTGTTTTATAATTATTCTTTCAAGAAATAATTCTTATTTCTTACAAATGCCAGAAAGTCATGATGATGGCAAAAAAGTGGTTAAGTGATAAATAATAAGATAATTAAAAAAATAAAACACTTGTTGCAGCTGTTAAAAGCGTACTATAGTTACGCTCGCTATGTTCGAAAAACTAATTGTCCTAATAAGTTTGTGAAATTTCGTTAACACTAGTGGCTGATGCTAATATTATGCAAACTTATCAGAAACAAGTAGATACAATCAAGCAAAAACTCGACGTGAAATGATAGCTCATATGCTTTATTCAATTCCATAGTATCTGAGTTCTCCAGTGAGCAGCAAGAATGTGCTAGGACACATCACTTCATGACACATCTTCTCAAACAAAATCAACTTATCTTCCTTGCACGTACTTCTTCGCTGAAGTCTTAAAAAATGTTAAACATCTGCATGGTGGTCTAATTTCAATAAAACAACTATAATAAAGATTTCATAACTTAATTTGCTGAATGATAATACTGCTTGCAAGTACTCATAAATTTTAAAGAATATTCTCCATCTTTTTTTATTTTATTTGCAAAGTATTAAGCAATTCTCTGGATTCTAAAGCAGCAGCGAAATTGATCTTTTATCATAAATTATTTTGTAGAAATTGCCAGGCTGAACTTGAATGGTGAAACTGCCGCTATGTAACCTTTGAATAACCTATATTAACGTCATGACTCAACTTTACTTGTAAAATACATTTCTGTGTACAACTTATAATACTCTAATAAATTATTTAATGAGTTTCTATCCTACCGATTTTAACTGGTGGTTTTAACTACTTTGGCACAAACTTGCCAGCCTTGTTTATATTACAGCTGAGCTTTTATGACCACACTGAGATTATTATTTCAGAAACAGATCATTTAAGTTTAACATTTCAGGAACAGATAACAAATCTTTTTTAATGTTAATAACGCTTAATAGCTTTTTTAAAACAAAAAAAGACTTGATTTTTTAATACTTAAAATATTTAAGGTTGACACAGAAATTAGGTATTTGCTGATCGTTTTAATGAACGTGCATATGATGACTTTGGTCTGATTTGAAGGCGATTGTCTTAGTGTTATAAATACCAATGTTTATTTATATTGTGTTTATTTTAGGGGTGGCCATCAGTGGGAAGTGGTCTTGATGAGAAGGTATACAGGTTACTATTAAAGCCAAACATATTTATTTCTAATTTCCCTATAAATCCTATCATTTTTATCCATCTAAATCGAATTTTTTTAATTATTATCTGTGTTCCAATGGGTAATGTACTTTAATTAATGTACGGTTATTAATATTACAAATTTAAACTTTTAAGTACATGTTGTCTCCTGTCCCCAAAGAAAGTTTGAAAACTGAGCGCAGACAGAGTGGGTGGTACTAAGTGATATAGTATTCTCCACTGAAACTGATTTTTCTGAAATGTTGTAAAAAGAGTTAGTAAGCTAATCTAGTAAACCTGAGGGATCAAAAGGGGAGATCAAAATTAATATTACATAAGAATGAACAACACGAGAGTTGTATGCTTGGATAAAGCTTCTCGAATTACAAATGAATAGACGTTATTGCGATTAAAGAATTCTTTATAATTGGTCTTTGAAAATTTCAGGAGTGCTTATTCACAGCTTTCAAATTTACTGAAATGCAACACTACTGGCAAAAATGAAACCCAGTAAAATGACGACATCTACGACATAGTCTAAAAGGTTTAGAAGCGGCGAAAACAACTGTTAACGAAAACCACATTCAAGAGGGCAAAGAATCTGACGAAAGACAGGAGGACTTGAAAAATAAGTAAGGATTTTTTTAATTGTTAATTATATAAATATATTGTTAAAAATGAACTTTTGTTAATCATCTAACAAAAAGAATTACAAAGATGTTTTAATTTGTACAGTTATTAAAACTATGTGTATAAATGTAGCAGCTTTAAAGGCCTTTAGCAAAGACTATTATGAGTATTAAATTTATATAAAATTATTCCTAATCATCATTCAATAAATAATATCAATCATTCATTTCCACAATTTTATGCCAATCATCTTGAGATAATCATCTCTCAAGATGATTGGTTTATTCTCTAATAATGAAATGTAGACTGCTATCGTTTCACTGTTTGTATGATGAGTGGTACTACAGCGTGAGTAGGATATGTTTGGAAATATTAATCGTTTTTTAGTTTTTTATAACGAGAAACACAAAGTGGTAATTAAACAATTATGATGAAATTTATGAATTTCTTATTATATATTTAAATTGAGAATTCAAACGGATTCCTAATTATCGAGTTTGTTGACGTCCACACTAGTTTATGAATATCTTTCATGGGTCTAGTATATAGGCTGTTTATGCAGTGGAAATGAAAATTACAAATCTATTAAAATTATGTCAGTTTTATACCGTCTTTTTTCACTTTTTTGAGCATTTAAGAAACAGCACTTTAGTATTAAACCGATCAATATTTTTTTTTTAATTTAATGCAAGGGTGACAAATAAATTTTTTAAATATTTAGAATAACACTAATTGTGTAAATGATTTTTAAAAAATGCTTTGTATACCTGAAGTGTTCTTCCTGGTTTGGCTTTGAACCGGTTGCTCTTCTGATGAACTGGACGGTAACTGTGGCGGTTGCGGTTCTAGTGAAGTCTGGACATCCATATCCGAGGTGGAACTGTCCACATATAACCCTTTGCCCATCGTGGAAGTGGACATGGGTGTAAAATCCATGTTTCTTAGCAAGAATTCAGATTCGTCAAGGTCGGACATAGAATGGAGTGCGGTACAAGTGTTCGTTATGACTTCTAGCATGCTAACGGAAGAGTTCTGTTCCTTCCAGATTTACGGTGACGTCAAACTGTGACGGAAAATGATGATCCCTTGGAATATTTCACGTTCTCTGGCTGCTTTCCTGAGTAGTACCGTTTTCATTTTTCAGACAGAGTTTAGGCACCTCGACCGACATTTTCTGGCTTTTGAAACCATTTCACAGCCTGGCTTTAGATTCCCTTTCCTTTGCGACAAAACACGAAAAAAAATTAGAAATAAATATCAATTTTTTCATCTTTGTATCAAACAGAAATAAGAACAAGGCATCTTCATACGATATGCACTGCCAGGCTCATATTTTTTCTTTTTTTATAAAAATGTTTCTTCAAGTCACCACCAAGGTTTTACTGCTGGAATATTTTTTTAACTCAATGTCAACATACACAAAATACTTTCCTTAACTCTCTTGCAACCGCCATATTTCTAATAAAAGCACCAGAGATGAAAAAAACGGCAGAAATATCAAAATTAATAGCCATTTTTTAGATGTTTTCTCCGTCTTTTCTTTCCCCCAGCACTTTTAAATTAACACCCCCTATATGCCGGGATAGATATATATATCTATCTATCTAACTATAAAGCACCTTGGCTACTTCGGTAGCATGCCACACGTTGTAGTATTCGAGAAAAGGAGAGGGGGCTGGGGGAAAAAAAAAAAAAAAAAAAAAAAAAAAAAAAAAAAAAAAGCACCTGACATTTTGGATTTTTGACTGGAGATGTTTCGGGAGTTTAGAAAGGATGGGCAAGAGTCTCTGCCAATCACGGAAGCTGAAATGACGTCACGCCTCGCGTCAGACCACTCACGGCAATTGATATAAGGGTGCAGAAATAAAAATGGGGATGAAACATTTAATGTAACTTACTTCTCACATGTTTCTAACCGCAATTTTTTAAGAAAGAAAATGAAGGTAGAATAAGTAAGGATTTGAATAACTTTTCTCATTTGTATCATTTTGCTTAGTAAATAAAGCTATTTATTCTCTGTAGCGGTTTTTAGGGGCACTGAGTACTAGGAAGTCGAGCATTGCATGAATGACATCATCAGCAGTATATATACATATCACTACTAAAAGTGTTCAGTTATGCAAATTTGCACCTTATATCGGGAGGCTTAAGTGCCTTCCTATAATCCCAGGAAAGATTATATTAATGAAGAAAATTGAATTACTGCATTACTTGGAATTTAAGCTACAGCGGAATATTATAACTATAAAATTGTAAAACATGTTTAAAATATACCAGCCTGGAAGTACCGCAGTAAAACTTTAAAACTGTCATAATAAAAAATTAAATTGATTTTATAGTAGGCATTGACAAAAAGCAGATATTTTTATTTGCATTGTGAATCTTCTTGAGATACATTATCTCTTTCTCGTCTTCACTTTTATAATCTGAATTCTCATCGTCATTATTAGATTAGAGCATATCATGTTCAGTGGCATTTAAACAAAACAATACGAAAAAAAATTCTAATTATTTTTTTTAGGGATAGCTAGAAAATACTCTATCATTGGGGAGTGGGAGATCGGCAGAAATAAAATGTTAAAATCTACGCTTTGAATTTAACCAGCATCTAATTTTACGTTCTAAAAATTTGAATAAAAAGTGCTTCTTAAATTCGAAATAATACTATATTTTGTATTCAAAGCTTAATTCCTAAAATTAGAAGAGTCGCTAGAGGCGTATGGAAAGCCGTCGCTAGCGGTGAGCCCCCCTCCAAAAAATGTGTAATCAAAACTGAATGAAATATGAAATTAATGATGAGCATGTAAAAATTTAGTTATTGTACTATTATAATAACTAAATTTTTTTCTTGCTTAAAAAGGTAAAAAACTTAAATAAAACAATAAAGCAAATAAAAAGGGACAATTAATAAATTATAAATTATCGTTAAAAAACAACTGAAATAATAAAACAAATATAAGATGTAATATTTAAATTGACTGTAACAAAACATGGTACGTAGAGCAGAAGAAAAAAGTATTTTAAACAGCATTTTTCGCTTTCAATATAAAATTGTCCTTTTTTTTTTCTGATTATTAATCTATTTAAAAGCCTTCTTGAGCTGATGGGTCGGCAAAATTTCTCCTGAAGGTGTCCGATTTCGACATGAGATTTCTTCCTCAGATACTCATTTTTTCTCGAGTATTTTGCTCTTTCCCGGAAAAGTAAGACGTACGTCCAGTATCTAGTATCAATATCAGTTTTATTAAATGCTAAAAGAAATATTTCAATAATAATCACAAATTAAAAGATAATTAAGTTTTAAATAAAGCACTAAAGCTAGTCTCATTTGAAATTCCGATGCCTTTCGGCTGATGTGAGCTTTGTAAATATTTAAAAATTTGTTTGATCGCTGTTTTTATACAAAGAAAAAAAAATAGTGCAAAAGTAAGCATACATTTAATTTCTGTTTTAAATACTACTAATAATATTTATATAAAATTATACTGCTTGAAATAGGAAAAGTTTTTTGAAATGTATATTTTGATAGCAATTTTTTAGAATAAATTTTAAAGAAATTATTATCTTTTCTTTTAGCAATAAATTAGTGTAATTTTGTGATTTACAAAACCAACTATAAACTTGTTTCCTTTACGGCAATAGCTACCAATAAAACAATATGTCTGCATGTAAAGATAGATGGACAAATATTCAGGTTTGTCTTGTCTATAAACTTTTGTAATTTAATTTTTTCGTTTACCTATGACGACTACTTCCTACATTCTTATTAAATTATTCACAACATTAACAAGCTCACTAGAGAAAAATTTACAAGAGGCTTTGAAAAACAATTAACTGCACATTATTTGCTTTAGAAGAAATCCCCCCCCCGAAGAAAAGAGGTTTGGGGTATCATGACGGTTTATTAGTAAATCATCTGCTGTTATTGTTGTCAAGATTAGTGTGGTTAATTTATTGAGCTATGGCAAAACACTCAGGAGTTACCTTGCCTAAGGGGGAAAGATGCCTTCGTGAAGGCATTTTCAGCGGAAAACTGGCTCGTATACCCGTTTCACACGGGGAAAACGAGGAAAACTCCCGTTAGCCTGGAATCGAACCCAGGTCGAGCTACCAGTGTTCAGCGACTTTAACCCTCGGCCGCTGGTGGACCGTTTGTTCTAAAAAAAATCGAGTCTTTACTTATTTTCAAACATAACATTTTTGTGTGTTCATAACCTAGACCATATGACGCTGCAGAATCTCGCAGAAGAATTTTTGTTAGAACAAAATTCCTCTGGAGTATTCTAAGTGACTTACTGTCCTGTAGCCACACCACATTTCTCAGTCAATATCTGTCTTCTGATTTACACGCTCTGAGGGCTAGAATTGTTATAATCCCATTGCAAAGCGTGGAAAAACTTTTTACGATTATAAAAAATGTGTAGTCAGGTGCTTTTATGAATATTTCAGTATGCTTTTATTGAATATTTTTATTAGGTGAACGGGCACCTTGGGCGCATACCAGCAAAAACTAATTTAATTTCTTAGTTTGTGAGATAGTATATAGCAAAGCCTAAAAGATTAAACGTAATAAACAAACACAACTTTCACTTAATTTGCTATTCCTTTCGAAAAACGTCAAAGAATATTGAGATGGAATCTTTATTCATTTTTCGAACTCTCTTATTTAGGTATTACCTCATTTTTAAAATATGATATACATAAAAACATATGCTTCGCATCATCATTATTGTACCAAAATTTTGCGTTTACCCATTTTATTAATTATCAAATATTAATTATGGAAACGGTATGTAAAGGAAGAGACAAATCATAGTGCCTGTCTGATTCAGTTACTATTTATGGTTGCATCTACTGTTAAGTCATCTGCGCAAACTAACTTCATGCTTATAATTTCTTCTTATCTTCTAGAGTTCTTTTCCGCTCTTTGCCAAAATGCATTCGTAATGTTCCTTTTACCTGCTGACGTCACTGTTGTCTGCATATTTTTTGTTATCCAAGTTGGCATTTTCATCTTCAGCGTTCACATATGTTAATTCAATTGTATTATCCACAGAATGCTTGAAATTTATATATCGAAGATCATCACAAACTGCCATCTATTTACAATAAAATGCATAATAATGCAGAAATTTTGTCAGCAAATGATTTTCTATAGTAATCAGATTTCTCTGTCTCTGTTTATTTATTTATTTTAGAATGATTTGATTTCGAAATCTCATGATAAAGACTAATTTTCTAATCAAGGAAATTCGGTGCTTCAAAAATGCGTAAATTAAATTCTCTTCTTTTAATAACAACAACTTTTCCTATTGGTGGGGGGGTGGAGGGAGCGGCTTTATATTAGCTGCAGAATTCACAATCTTTATTGGAAAAAATAGCATATATTCTTCAAAATGCAATTTTTTACTTATTTCATACGACAAATTTCATATGATTATTGGCTATATGCAGGTTACATAAATCATTTCAAAAGTTTTTTAGTGCTACTTTTGTATTCTATTCTGTGATCGTATTCAAACTGACGAAAGCCCATCGGATCTGAGGGGAGGAGGGAATTTTACGTCAAAATCCGGAATTCCACGTGCTTGGTCAAAAGTATTATAGTGAAAATTAGAATTATAGTTAAAGTTATAGAACAAAGAATTATAGTTAAAGTCACTTTAAAAAGCAAATTTTGAAACCGGCAGTAGCTCCCAGCTTCTGAGATAAAACGCTGTGTAAGCCAATATTCAAACATAGAAGGGCTCATCAAAGGTATTTGAAAATTATTTTCCAAGTGCCCCTAAATCTACGTTAAAAAGTCAAGGTATTTTTATACTACGGATGATTCTAAAAATTGCAGCGAAGAAGGCTGGATGTATAAGCAGATTTGGTGAATAAATTCCGTATCATGTATCTACTTTCTCTTCTTTTAGATATTGTTATTTACTGAATATTAAATGTAAAAAAGTAAACTTTTCTGTCACCAGGATTCGAACCTCAGAACTCCAGTTACCAGCTCGATGTACAACTTATACTATAAAAGTATGTCTAGGAAAATACGATGATTCTTTACATACTGAGTTTAATCTAGCTTCGTGATTAAGAATAATCGTATTTTTAAAGATATGTTATAAAATGTAATTATTATTGAGAAAAATGTAAAATTTTTTCCTTATTATCTTTTATTTAAAATTTCGTTATTACCTTAATTCTTCAATAATCAGTAGAAATGGATCGCATCCTTGATTTCTACAGCTACAAGTTACAGCAATTCCTAAAGATGGGGAGGGTATTATGCAATCTTTTTTATAATCAACATTAATTTTTGCATTTCATTATTTTAAGATTTGAATAAGATATGTATTTAAAGCAATAACTTATTCTTGAGAACCTGCGAATAAACAAGTGAGTGAAAACCCAGAGGAAACAGCAGCATAGTTAATTAGGGAAGAAACCCTGACTGCAGTCAATCTCATACATTTATTGTTCTCCCCTTATAAAAAAAAAAAAAAAAAAAAAAAAAAAAAAAAAAAAAAAAAGATATATTGGTATTTGCTTGAAGATGAATCAGGAATTCCCGTATAAGGTAATTCTCCCACCTTGGTAGTGTGGTAATTTGCACGCAGGACGCTTATTCTAGAGGTCCGCGGTTTGATTCCCGGCGAAGACGTTTGCTCGTTTTTCAATCTCTCCTGCTTTAAAAAATACCTAATGTCTCTACAGTGGCGCCCGAACTAAAGGGTGGTGGATGATAAATCTCCACAGCCAGGATTTGGGCGACTGGGTTCCCTAAAATCCCCTGTCTCCCTTTAAAAAGGAGGGAGTATATAAGGTATTTCTCGCGCCTTTTTGGCATGCCTTCGTGGT